GAGAGAGAGAGAGAGAGAGAGAGAGAGAGAGAGAGAGAGAGAAACTGTTGTCTGGTGGGTCTGGTCCCTCTCAAGTTGCTGCTTTAGATGTGATTTGAAAATGGCTGGACTTAGGATGGTCTGTCATCACAACATGGCTTACTTATTATGGCTAAGGGTGCCTCTTTCCAGTCATGTGACCTCAGGCAAGTTCCTTCTGTGGAATGGGAGCAAAGGTCAGTTTTCTCCCAGTGTTGCCCCCTGCCATGTATCAGGAGAGGTATGAACTGTGTTAAGTGTAAATCTCACCACACTGTCTTTTGGACCCTTCCTCCAACACCAGGTTTACCCAGTATCCCCCTACAGATAGATGTGCTGGCCACCCTTGATGGGTACAGTGGGAGCATGACTCCCGGAGGACCAAGTTACCAAGTTACCAAGCTCTGACACTAGCTCTGAGAAGCGTTTGTTCAGTTTGCCTAATCTTGAAACCACATAGATAAGCCAGTTAATGTTCAGTTTGGAGGTCCTTCTTGGGCATGCCTTTCCTATAGAATAAACAACAACCTGTCTGCACACGAGATGGGGGGCACACCCCAGTTAACACAGGATAATGTAGGAGTCTCAAAGGAAAGTGCTGGGTGGGGAGACCTGGAGCCTGAACCCCCACCCCACAGCTGTTTAGTCCCCAGTCATTTTCTTCCCCCTGTGCTATGACTTGTGCCCCAATTAAAAAAAAAAAAAAAAAAAAAAGATGAAAATAGCTATGCTCCTGGAGGCCTCTTTGTTGTAGTTGTTGTTCCTACCAATATCCTCTTTATTCTGAAATAAATATTTTGCCCGCCCATTGGCTTTTCATGCTGGAAACAAAAGCTGGAAGAGCAGGGTATCTGACTGTAATCTGGAGTACATAGGTACTCAAACTGAGTTCTCTCTTCACAGTATAATAAATGGATTTGCCTTACCACTGAAGGAAGAGCACAAGATTTTCCTGTTAAAGGTGTTGCTGCCCTTGCACAAAGTGAAATCCCTGAGTGTCTACCATCCCCAGGTAAGGCCACCTGAGCACAGCTGCACACCTCTTCAGTGAGTGGTCCAGACGTTTGTGGGTGTGGTCCCTTTCCCATATCACTGTACTGCAGTGAAAATGGAGAGTCCTTTTCAAGGAATTTGGGAGAGGGGTCGGGAGGTGGTTTAGTCGTATAAATGCTTGTCTTCAAGTGTGAGGACCAGAGTTGACATCCCCAGAACTCTCATAAATGGCAGATAAGATGTGGTAGGCTGCTGGAGAGATGGCTCAGGGGTTCAGAGCACTGGCTGCTCTTCCAGAGGACCTGGGTTCAATTCCTAGCATCCACATGGCAGCTCACAACTGTCTTCAATTCCAGTTCCAGGGGACCTGACACCTGTTGCAAAACACCAATGCACATGAAATAAAAATAAATAAATTTAAAAAAAACAAAAAACAAAAACAGACATGGTAGACGGCTGTGTACCCAACCTCAGAAGGTAGAGGCAGAATCCTAGGAGCAAGCTGCCTAGCTAGAATAGCCCCTGGGCTGTATTTAACAAGACCTTGTCTAAAAATTATAAATAAAATAGGCATTCCATTCTTGAGAGCTCCTTGGAAATGGGTGGCATGGGACACATTACAAAAAGGACATTTATTTTGTCGACTCTAATAGCATTGGCTTCCCAGGAAATAGCCACTTGTTTTCTGTTAAGTATCGAGTGTCAGCAGGTCCAGTTAGCTTGTTGCCATGCTCATTGTTGAACACAAGTAATAAAGCTGACTGTGGTGGTGCACACCTATAAGGCTGAGGCAGGAGGCTTGCAGCAACCTTGGGCTACATATAAAACTGCCTCAAAGAGAAAAGAAGAGGAGCTCAGAAATTTCTGATAGATTACTGAATTAAACATTTTTCTCAGTTTTTATATTGCTTGTCCATTCTAATCTTCAAAAATCACACACACACACACACACACACACACACACACACACACACACACACACACACACATCATTTCACTTGGTTGATTTGTTGGTGGTGGTCGTCTGAAAGGACTGGGCATGACTATGAAGTCTGTCTCAGATTGACAGGGAAAAAATTATCCACTGAGTATCAGACCCAAAGGTACTTCCCTGAGGTATCTCCATCGTGGGTAGCAGATGTACTGGTCAAGGGCAACATTTCAGCCACATCCAGCCATTTTTCCCAGGAAGGTGTTTAGTGGTTGTTCTGGAAGGGCGTTTCCATGCTGAAGTGCTCAATGATGCTCTCTCTCCCATCCCTTCCAGCTGGCGTACTGTGTTGTGCAGTTTTTGGAGAAGGACAGCACCCTCACTGAACCAGTAAGTCCTCTCCCTGAGCCCTGACAGTTGGCTGTGCCTCTCCTGGGGCAACCATCATGGCACACGTTTTACTGTGTTGCCGTGTGGGTGTCTTTGTCATCCTCAGCAGCGACACTGATGGAGGCTGATGTCATTCCTGGGTTGGACGTTTGAGTGTGGTAGTTTGCCTGCAAGTTCTCTTACTGCAATGATGGTTTTCCGTAATAAGCTTGCTACCCTGTCTCATACCTTGGAACATGGTACCTAAGTAGCTGTGGCGCCAGCCTAGGCCAGGTCAGTCCTCCACATTGGACAGAATGTGTCCTGACTCAGTCACAGGCATTGCAGCAAGAGTGTAAATCACTTATACTCAAGAGGGAAGTCTTTTCTAAGTTAGTGTTACTCTTTTACAGTCACTGAACAAGTGAAGGCTAGGCTGCTGACTTTTGGTTTGGATTTCCAATTGTTATTTTATCTTTATTAAATTTTTATTTTATTCTTTTGGTTTTTTTGAGGCAGGGTTTCACCATGATATGTAGTCCTGACTGTATGGAACTTGCTTTGTAGACCAGGCTGACCTTGAACTCAGAGATCCTCCTGCCTCTCCCTCCTGCGTGCTGGGATTAAAGGTGTGCACCACCACTTCTCAGCTATCTTTAATCACTTTTTAAAAATTTAATTCCCAGGGCTGGAGAGATGGCTCGGAGGTTAAGAGCACCGACTGCTCTTCCAGAGGTCCTGAGTTCAATTCCCAGCAACCACATGGTGGCTCACAGCCATCCTTTATGAGTTCTGGTGTGCAGATATACATGGAAGCAGAATGTTGTATGTATAATAAATAAAAAAATAAAATCTTAAAAAAAAATCAATTCCCAGCACCTCCACTAAAAATCAGTTAGTCAGAAATGTAGCCAAAGTTAACAAAATGTGTCTTGTCAGACATCAGCCAGAGTAAGCACTTGAGTTGAGTTTTTAAAGATAACTAAGATACAGGTCATAGCCCATGCAGTTCACCTGGTATGGCTCAAGCTGACCTGGCTCAGGAGGCTGAGGTTGGTAGATGACCATAAGTTTGGGGTCAGCCTCAGCTGTATAATAAGAAAGGAAAGAGGAGCTGGAGAGATGGCTCAGTAGGTAAGAGCGCTTGTTGCTTTTTCAGAGGTCCCCAGCACCCAGAGGATGGCTCACAGCTGCCTGTAACTCCAGCTCCATGGGTCAGGCACCATATCCCCAGCCTCTGCAGGCATTCACACGCATAAGTGTATTTGCATGGTCACTCAGGCTTCTCCTCCCAACACACACACACACACAATCCCACCTGCTCTCACTGCCCCATTTATAGCAAGAAATCAAAGACAAAGAAGGTATACTGCTTTCTTCCATGATTTTCCCCTGTGTGTGTTTCTCATACTCTGTGATAAAGAATCCATTGCGTGTTAAATCCACATTTGCCACAGACAGACTTCTCCCACCCAAAGCATCCACCTCTGCCCGCTGGGCCCTGTCCCAGCCCAACCCCAGGCCTGGTTAGCCCACATGGACTCTGTTTCCTCATCCTTCCAAGCATAACATACACTCAGGTGACAGTTGTAAAGTTTCCATTCCACTAATGCAGTGTAGTGACAGATTGGCAGCTTTGTGAGGGGTGAGCTTAACTGCAGGAGGCGAGAGACAGCGAACATGCTGTCTCTCATAGACATTGCTACCGGCCTCTGGCAGGACCCTGCACAGACAAGCCACACACCCCACACTCGGTGTGGTGGCTCCATCTCAAGCTGTCATTTGATAGTTCCTGTTGCAAGATGATGGTGTGACATCACTGTCCAGCTATAGAAAGCAGAGCTCGTTTTTAGTATGTGCAAAGCACTCAGACTCACCTGGTAAATCTCTTGCTTTGAAATTCACATCTTATGACAATGCAAAGGCCATTGTGTCTGACTTAGCAGTGAGCACTTGTTAAGATGCAGGTGTGAACTGGAAAGGCGTGTGAACACTCTGCACGCACGAAGCTACCGTGCTGCCCCCGGGCTCCTGGTTGCCATGTGGAACTGCTTTAAATACAAATCATGTCTGTTACTGCAATCACACTCCTAACAAGCAGTGACTTGCAGAAGATGGAGTCTGAGTCGTGCTGTGAGAGCAGCGCAGAGCTGGGGCTGCGGGAGCGTGCAGCTCAGACCCCTGGCTCAACAGTCAGGGAGCATGCAGGTGCCCAGATCCTCCTTTCTCAGGCGGTACTCAGTCTAGGGTTCAAGCCCCTGGGTGGAGCCTTAGGGATTCCTTAATCCAGTCAAGCTGACAGTGGGAACACCCATCACAGTGCTCCACTTCAAAGACTGCGGTCTATAAAGGACTTTGCTGACCCTGTAATTGATATTTTTCATGTACTCCGAAGCGTCCTGGGCACATTAGACATATTTAGTATTTACTTTGTTGCCAGGGTAGAGGCTCATGAGAGATTTTACATAACTGTGTCTGCTTTCACCTGCCTGTCTCCTTCAGCTAATGGAATGTCAACTTGCCTTGGCACCCACTACTTTGTTCCTACACCAGGACAGGCTCCCCGGGACTCAAGGCAGGGCCCCTGGCTTGCTTCCCTCACCTCCATGCAGGAGCCTAGAGCTTCTGTTGTCAGCCTTAGCATGTCTGGCATGCACTTCTGCAGAGTCCTGCTCTGTGTACACACAGCCCAAAAGGCTGGGCACTTCTCACAGTAGTGAGATCCCAAAGATCAGGAAAAATTTTGATGTGATTCAGAAATTTTGGCTTTTCTAGCAAATCAGTCCAAACTGGTGGTGCTGTGCAGCTCCTACATGCCTTAAAATCTACTGATGCGTCAGGCCTTTAATCCCAGCACTCAGGAGGCAGAGGCAGGTGGATCTCTGAGTTCTAGGACAGCCAGGTCTATCAGAGAAATCCTGTCTCAGAAAACCAATAAATAAACAAATAAGTAAACATGCATATATATTAAGGTTTATAATTAAGTACAGTTTAAACAGTGTGAACTATTTGCTTATTTCTCTTATCTTAAAGAATTTGTTTTTGTGGGTCAGTAAGGTAGCTCAATGGGTGAAGTGTTTGATGCTGAGACTGACCACATGGGTTCAATTCTTGGGACCTGTATGATGAAAGGAGAAATACAGTTCCTGCAGGCTATCGTCAGACAGCCACACATGAAATAAATGTGATAAAAAGGATTTTTCTTTTATAAATGAAATCATAGGGTGGGGTTCATGAAGTGCATGATTTAGACGGGGGCATTAAAGGGAGCACTGATAGCATCCAATCTGGGCCACAAGCACCCTGACTCCGAGTAAGTTTACCCTGTTGTTAGCATCAGTGTTTAAAGTCATTAGGAAAAGGAATGTTCTCCTCACAGCTTTGGTTTTGTAAGTTGTGTTGAGATTTCTTGAGTCCTAAGCCAACAGGAAACTCAAACTAGATCCTGGGATGAAGGACAAATTGTACCTGCTCGGTTGCATGTGCAGGCATGTGTGTGTGCGCACAGTTGTGTGTACACAGTTTTGTGCACATGTGTCTTTATGACAACGTGCCTGCTAGTGCTCATTGTACTTTTTAGAATTAAGATAGCGAAAATCTAAAAACTGTAGTTAATCTTCATTGAATCAAATCCAGTATTTTCTGCTGGCATCGTTTGGTAAGACATTTTGAAAATATAGGAGATTTTTTTTTCTTTTTTTAAAGTTGCCTGGCAGATGCTCTTTATAGCTGACTCAGGCGAAGAAGAGAGTAATGTATGGTAGCCACAGATTAGGAAGCACTGTGACCTCAGACTACGTAGCATTGCTCGAGATCAAGGCCATGGCTGCCATGTGCTTCCTCCTGACCAGGCACTCTCCCAGAACTCGATCTCAAGCCCCTGCTGATGACCACACACAGCTTTATGAACCCAGCTCAGGCTCAGCACCCACAGTGAACGCAAGCTTACATCTGCTTCACTGACAATACCCTTTTGATATATTTTAACAAAGTTGGAAAAGTGTGTGTGTGTGCACATACAGACACACAAATAGTTAACTTTAGAAGTAGATTGTACATATGTACGAATGTTGCTAACAGTGTCAGAACTAGCTGTTTCCGCACTAGAACACAGTCTGCATTGTCTCCACTGATGATCAGAGGGAAAGTGTGTAGAACTGTGCACACAGCACAATGTTAAAGCCAAAGGTAGAGACCACCCTTGGCCAGTGAACTTCTGAGTGTCGGAAGTGTGCTAAGTTGAATAGGCAGTCGGATTTTCACTGACGCCAGTGGACTGGACTCTGACTGAAGCATGATAGTGGCCATTGCCACATCCATACAGTAAATTAACTAATTGATTAAAGAAGTGTGTAAAACTAGACTATTGATGAGAGAAGCATGCTGGTGCTGATTCTCAGCGCCATCTCCCCTGTTGCGCTGCAGTGGGAACATCTAATGGGAGCACAGACATCTTCTCTGTGCATTGGCAACGCATAGGCGTCACTGTTTGCTGCTGTTGTTTTTCAGGTGGTAATGGCACTTCTCAAATACTGGCCAAAGACTCACAGTCCAAAAGAAGTAATGTTCTTAAATGAATTAGAAGAAATTTTAGATGTAATTGAACCATCAGAATTTGTGAAGATCATGGAGCCTCTTTTTCGACAATTAGCCAAGTGTGTTTCCAGCCCTCACTTCCAGGTATGCAGGTCTGGGTGACAGTGGTCAGGTGCTCCTGTTGAAATGGTGTTCTCAGTGTGAAGCTGCGTGTACTCTGGTTTTGCTGCGATCTGGGGGCAATGTTCAGTTTTTTTTTTACTTGGCATGTACTTCAAAATTAGATGCTTAAATTTTAGCCAGGCAGGAAGACTCATTTCTGTAACCCCAATCAATACTTGGGAAGCTAAGGCAGGAGAATTGCTACAAGCTGACATCAGCCTGGGCTATAAAGAGACCCTATACTCAAAAATAAAATATGATTTTATTTAGTTCTCTGTAGTTGCAATTCTTGCCCTACTCTCATCACTGAAAACCTATGGAGTATAGGGCTGTCCACTGTAGGAGCCATAGCCTACTAGGGGCACACTCCTTGAGAAAGCCGGCTCTTTTCCCAGCAGCTGCTGACTACCTGTAACTTCAGCTAGAGGTGGGGCCTTGTGAGCCACACCCCCACCCGTGTTGGAATATTGGCTGGATTGGCCCTGGCAGAGCAGCCTTCCCTGTCATCCTGCCTAGAGGTTCCTCTTGAGCAGAAGCAAACCTGGACTTTCTGCACGGTGGCTGCCGGCTGCCACACTCCCCATCTCAGTTTGCTGGTCCCAGTGACTCCTTTCCTCATTCCGGAAAGGCTCTGTGTGGAGGGTCCTCAATGCCGAGTCTGCTCCAGGAGACACAGACACCTCTGGTGGATGATGGTGGCTAAAGGATTTCAGGGTTTGGCCACCCTCATTTTCCACTGGTAACAGCCTAGCATCTCTCATTCACTGCCAAGACACTTTGTTCTTCCTTGTAAGAAGTCCAGTCTCCATTCCTGCTTTCTTGATGGACCCAGATCAATACCAAGTACATTCTAGAATCGCCCGGAAACATGTGGCCAGCTCTTTCTTAATCAGATGTTTTTTCTATGTAGTGTTTTTTTCACTTTCTCACCCAAACCCCCCATCCCCAGCCGTCTTGGTAGCTTCTCGTGGTTGTCTTGCACCTAAAACAGAGAGATGGTGGCTGTAGAAGAGACATTATCTTTGGAGTCAGTCAACTCTAGACTCCAGGTTGTTATAAAAAAAATAGAAGGGGGCCAGTGAAATGGCTCAGCAGATGAAGGTGCCTGTTGCCAGGCCAGACGATCTGTGTTGGATATCTGGGGTCTACATGGTGGAAAGAGAGAACCAACTCCCCAGAGTTGTCCTCTGCATACACACACACACACACACACACACACACACACACACACACACACACACTATGGTATACAAGTGCCTCCATCCCTGCCACACACACACACACATGATCTACACACACAAAATAGATCAATTACATACTTTTTGAAAGGTAAGTCGGAAGTACATGTGGCTGTGTGTCAGTACAAGCAGATGGGACAAAGTGAGTTGTGCATCCCCATCAAGGGCCCAGCATTAAGGAAATCTGAAATGGAATACTGTGTGTCACATTGGTCAAAAGCCAGCACCTGGCAGTCCAGCGGGGGTGGTGGTGAACTGGGAAGAGCATTCTAAAGTACTGAGTGTGCACGGCTGCTGCTGAGCTAGGAGAGTGATGGTATTGGAAGCATACCAGAGAAGTAAACGGCAAGTTCTCTTTAATAAGACAGCTGAGTGCAGTAGTTAATCCCTAAACTGAGGCAGGAGGATTGCAAGTTCCAGGCTGGCTACTGTTTCTCAAAGAAAGAAAGGGAAAAAAAGCATTTGTGTTAAAAACTAAAACAAGCCAGATGTCGGTGGTGCACACCTTTAATCCCAGCACTCAGGAGCAGAGGCAGGCGGATCTCTGTGAGTTCGATGCCAGCCTGGTCTCCAGAGCGAGTGCCAGGACAGGCTCCAAAGCTACACAGAGAAACCCTGTCTCAAAAAAACAGAACAAAACAAAACAAAAAACTAAAACAAAATTTACAATTTGCACCTTTAAGCACCCTATCTTTTATTTTCTAATGTGCAGTCTTGAAATATTATATCCAAAAATATTTATGGATAGGTAAATGTTCTCTATAGTCTCCATGAGTTCAAGGCCAGCCTGAGTTACATATCAAGCCCCAGGCCAGAAAGAAAGAAAAGAAAAGAAGGTGTTGGGGCCAGCAAGATGGCCTGTACAGTTAAAGCCACTTGCCTTGCAAGCCTGGTGACCTGATTTCAATATCAGAACCCAGAAAGTGGGGGGAAGAGAATGGACTCAGAGTTAGCCTCTACCAGACACACATCATAGCACATGCTCACGTGTGTACACATACTATATATGTGTGTACCCCTACAATAAACTAAAATACAGGGCCAGCAAGACGGCTCACCAGGGAAGGTGCTTGTCCCCAAACTTGATGAGTTTGCTCCTAGGCCTCACATAGTAAAAGGAGAGAACCAACCCCTCCACATTGTCCACAGGGCTACAGGTGTGCCACACCACAGACATGTACACACATGATAGACAAATGTAATTTTGAAAATAATAATAATGTAGGTAAAGGTATTGGTCGGGCATAATGACACACACCTATAATCACCACACTTAGGGCCTGAGCTGGGGAGATCATAAACTTGAGGTTGGCCTGACCTCCATAGTTGGGTTTTTTGTTTTGTTTGTTGTTTTTTTTTTTTTTTTTTTTTTGTTGGGGGGGGGGTTGTTTTTGGTTTTTGGTTTTTTTTTTTTGGGTTTTCGAGACAGGGTTTCCCTGTATAGCTGTCCTGGCACTCGCTCTTATAGACCAGGCTGGTCTCAAACTCACAGAGATCCGCCTGCCTTTGCCTCCCGAGTACTGGGATTACTTGCTGTTCACGGTGGTGCTCACCTTTATTCTCAGCATGTGGAAAGCTCAGGCAAGATGCTCAGCGTGAGCAATAGTGAGGCATCCTTAAACTGTGTGTGTGTGTGTGTGTGTGTACACGCGCGTGCGTGCATTGTGTACTTCACATTTACTTATTTTATGGTACCACAGAGGATGTGTGTGGAAGACTCAATTGTCTCTACCACGTGGATTCAAGACATCAGACTAAGGGCATTAAGCTTGGTCACAGTACCCTTACCCTGCCATCTCACTGCCCCGCCCCCTTTATGTATCTGGTGGGGGGTTTTGCTTGTTTGTTTTTGGTTTTTGGTTTTTCGAGACGGGGTTTCTCTGTGTAACAGCTCTGGCTGTCCTGGAACTCCCTCTGTAGACCAGGCTGGTCTCGAACTCACAGAGATCCGCCTGCCTCTGCCTCCCGAGTGCTGGGATTAAAGGCGTGCGCCACCAACACCCAGCTATGTGCTGTATTTCCATCTATGCCTTTTCTTTCCCATTTGCAAAGCTCACCTCTCCTCACTTCCTCTGAGGGACTAACCCTGGCTCCTGAGCTGCCTCCTCCTGCCCCACCTGCTCATTCAAGGTTTCTGGTGGCAGAACCATGGTCCCACTCGGCTCTGAGCTTCTGAGCGTGGCTACTACACTGCACCCTGGCTGTACTTACGGAGCCCTTGCAGCTCTGCCTGGAGAAGTGTGTGCTGGCACAAGACTGACCGCATGCCCTGGTGGCTTTGTGAACTCTGGTGGCTTTGTGAACTCTGGTGGCTCTTCAGCATGTGTGTGTCAGCAGTCAGGACAGAGGCATAGGCAGCTGTGGATGGGGGGGGGGGGGGGGGAGGGGGGGGGGGGCCGTGAAGTGGTAACTAATACAGAGGAGTCCCCTCCTCCCCTGCCACCCAGCTCCCAGTTCACCCAAAAGGAGGGCTGGCTCGAAGACCCCGAGATGTGGCTCTGCAGCTTTGGCAACCACTGGCCCTCTGGCCAACCACTCTCTTGCCATCTTGGCTCTCAGGATCTCACACAGGGTCTGCCTTAGATAAAGCCTCCATGCCGACTGGCACAACTCTCTGCCCATCATTTGTCATTTCTAGTAAATCAGTTGTCATCTGTTTTCCGCTCCCGGGGCCAATTATGGTCTGCTGCAGCCTCTGTGCTAAGTGGGCGGTATGTGCACTGGAGGCCTGGCTAGTACAGGGTGAGTGAGAGTGAGTGGCTGGGGATGGACCTGAAGAGGTGGCTCGTCAGGAAAGTACCCATTGCGATCCTAAGTTTGGATCATTTGGCCACACCTGTTATCCCAGCACTTGGGTCGGGGAAATAGAGATAGGAAAGTCCGTGCCAGCCAGCCTTGCCAAATTGGGAGCTCCAAGTTTAGTGAGCAACCCTGTCTCTGGAGCCGGGCGTTGGTGGCGCACTCCTTTAATCCCAGCCCTCGGGAGGCAGAGGCAGGTGGATCTCTGTGAGTTCTAGGCCAGCCTGGTCTACAAGAGCGAGTGCCAGGACAGCCTCCAAACAACACAGAGAAACCCTGTCTTGAAAAACAACAACAAAAGAAAAAATGGAGACCAACTCAGAAGCTACTCAGTGTCAGCCTCTAGCTTCCATGTAAGTGTGCACACACATGCCACACACAGACACTGCGGAGTCATGTATTCACACACACGTTTCCCTTGGTGTCGGCATCCAGCCAAGGGTCTCATGAACGTTTTTTGAGTAATTGGAAAAGTGAATGACAATGTTGACTTCTTGATATGTAAGTTATCTTTTGCCTCTTTATTGGCTGTTCTGCAACGTCACAATCTAGACTATTTAGAAATGATGGATATAGTTGTAATTGTCGGTCCAGTGTAGCTTACTCTACTCCCAGGGTTAACAGTGAGAATGTTTGCCTCCTGTCTTTGTGCAGATCACCAACATGTCTTCTCCCCTGACTTCCAGGTGGCAGAGCGGGCGCTGTATTACTGGAACAATGAGTACATTATGAGTCTAATCAGTGACAACGCAGCGAAGATTCTGCCCATCATGTTTCCATCCTTGTACCGCAACTCAAAGACCCACTGGAACAAGTAGGAACCGGCAGCCCATCAGCTTCTGGTCATTTTTAAGTAGCGCGTGTCTTGCTATCACTGGAGTTAGGAGTGGAAATCTAAGCTTACCATCAGCTTTTAAAATGAACATCAGTTTGTATGTGACTTTTTAAGTTAGCGGCAATGTGGATTATCTCTGTGGCCTATTGTCTTGCTTCTTTACCCCCCATGCCAAGCCAGTACAGAGGACTATTTGTCTGCACCCAGTTCCCTGCTGGTCTCAGAAGCAGCCCTCTTCAGGCTTCTGCTGGAGCCTTCAGGGTAGTTTGAAGGTCACTGCAAAGTTCATAGGATCAGTCCTGCCAGAACGTAGTGGACACATCAATCCTTAGGTGTCCCCTAAGTCCCAGGACACATCAGGGCTGCCCTGCTGTGGACATTACTTGAGAGTGAAGGAGAAGAGAGAGCCGGTGGCTTCTGTGGCTGAGGAGTGTCCAAACCCTCCCTTTCCTTTCTCCTGATGAGAAAGAGAGTCAGTTCACCCAGTGAAAGCTCCCTGATGCCTAGCAAGGATCTCCGCATGGGTGCCAAGTACTCAGTGTTAGCCAGAGGTAGACATGAGAGCTGTCCTTTCCTCTGCAGAACATCATAAGGACAGGCTTTCTGTTACTGCCAACTGTAATACTTTTTTTCCACTCGGTCTCCAGGCAGAGTGGCCTTGGCCACTGTTAACAGGAAGGTGAACTTCCTGGCCTGGCAGGTGCCTGCAAGCCCTGACTGGGGAAACAGACTGAGTCAAAACCAGCATCTGGCATTAGAACCTAGCGGGCCTGTTGCGGGTAGGGCCTCAGAAATGAGGGGGAGTGGCGGGAGGCAGGAGAAGGGTCCAGGGTTGACATTTCACTGTGGCATTCGCTCTGCAGGACAATACATGGCTTGATATATAATGCCCTGAAACTTTTCATGGAGATGAACCAAAAACTCTTCGATGACTGTACCCAGCAGTTCAAAGCAGAGAAACTGAAGTAAGTTGCCCCTTGTACAGGTTCCATGGTGGGTTTTATCGTTTTCCATATCCCTTAGTATTCCACCACATTGTCTGCCCTATAAAGTTATTCTTCATTTTGTACTTGTAAAGAAACCCTGTTCTGCTCTTGTTTAGGAAGCACATTAAAGGTTGATAGTGCGTGTTACCAAAGAGCATGTGTCTAACAGCCGGGTCCTCGCCCTCCACTAGCCGAGTCATCTTTGCCTTTTTCAGAGTACTGGTCTGTGCACATGAGGACTTGAGAGGTGGAATCTTGGCAGAGACTGCCTAGATGTCCATGTGATTGATTAGTAATGACTGGCAGGATGGCTCAGTGATACAGGCACTTGCTCTGCAGGTCTGATAAGCTGAGCTCAGAAGCTGTGTACAAACAGGGAAAGCACAGGGTCGACCCCTGACCCCGACACTTATGCCATGTCATGTACCCACCCACACCTCCATCATCTTAATAATACATCTATTTAATTAGTTAAATAAGTCACTTTTTCAGGCCAGGTATGACAGCACAAGTCCAGCACCTCAACCTTCTAGAGGCTGAGGCAGGAGGAGTACTACAAGTTTAAGGCCAACCTTGGCTATATAGTGAGACCTTGTCTCTTTGAAGAAAAAGGAGAGGGGAGCCATTCTTCCTAACCCAGTATGAACTGTTGGCAGATTTTAGTCTTTGCTTGACACTTAGAGGTGACTAAGGTAGATAAACTACAGGGCGTCTGTTGAGCCAGTCACCATTTCTTTGTTCTTTAGATAATATCGGGCTCCTTGGGTTTCTGATAATACAGCAGTGAATTCCACAAGAGTCCTTGCTGTAACAGTAACCGGGTGGGTAGAGTAGAAGAGCACACTCTGAGTAAAATACAGTCTGCCTGTCAGCGAGGCGCAGGGTGGCACAGTCACCAGAGAGCTACGCCAGACCGGGTCTCGGCACTTAAGGGCAGAGTGTACACGGGGCTGAAGTTAGTGCGACAGAAGCATCTAAGAGTGAGCCGTCCGCTGTTGCCTCCTCCCATTCCTAGAGAGTCAGTGTTCCAGAAGTTGCCTGTAGTAGTGCATTTTGAGACCTCCTCCATTCCTAGAGAGTCAGTGTTCCAGAAGTTGCCTGTGGTAGTGCATTTTGAGGATTTAAAAACAGTGGCCTAAATTCAGTGCCCCTAATGATGGAATCAGAAGCAACCCTGGTCTCCCTTGAAATACTGTCACCATCAGGGTGCTGGCTCCGGCTTCCTTGGCTCCTCTGCAGACTTGCCCGCCAATGGGTATAAAAGCAAGCAGCCAGCCAGGCTAGGAACATTGGACCTACTTACAGGAGATTGCGAGTGTTTTAAATTCTTGTTAAATATTTTTTGCTTTTTAAAATCTTTAGTGTCAACACTTAGCCAGTTTTTAGGTTTGTTTTTTCATGCCGTGTGTGTTGAGAGCCACAGTATAAGATATGGGATAAGAGCAGGAAGTCCCTGGAAAACAATGGTTGTGTTGCTGACATCTCCAAGCTTTCATCCCTTATCCTGCCTGAATTCAAGTCTTCTCTAATACAAATGACGTTTTGCTGTTTTTCAGAGAGAAGCTAAAAATGAAAGAGCGAGAAGAAGCATGGGTTAAAATAGAAAACCTAGCCAAAGCGAATCCCCAGGTACTAAAAAAGAGAGTGACGCGGGAGTGTTGAGGCATTGCTTGAGTGTTTGATGGCATAGGATGGTCTGGCTCCACTCCGGGAAGGGAGGCCATCGTCACTAACCCTGTATGTGCAAATGTCCACAATAAAACACTTTCCAACTTTGTAACCTTCCTCTTGTATAAGTACTTATTTGCCACACATAATTTTTACCACAAAGTTGACCTTTTTTGCTCTTCTTTTTAAAAGTAAGATATGATGTGGTAAAAAGAAAACCAGGATGTAACCTCTTAAGACTGTAATGTCCTTTCTTGCTCAAATGTCATAACTGCTGTTACTTGAACCATCATTTCTTTTATTTTCCTATTTGAAGCAGACGAAGTATGGACTAGGTGAAGTGTGCGGAGAAACTAACTGACTTCTGCCCTGCTCACACTAACCTCTCCTCTACCCTAGCTGATGGCCGTATGCTCTGGCGTGGCCAAGCGAGACACAAATGGTCCAGTCTGCCAGGGCTGCTGGTAACACGGCAGCCTCCATCCTGTGTCAGCTCTTAGGCTGCCAGGCAAACCTGGGGTAGCTTTGCGGTCGTGGTCCTTTGGTGTTGTGTTCGCTGGACTGGATGATGGGTGTTACGGGGGTGTGTCTCCTTGCTCCGTGTGTGTCTGATTGATTGCATCAGCCCACTTGATGAAATGTCTGACCTTTTCCACACTAAGATCTCTCAGGCTTTTCTCAGCTCTCCAGGGAAGAAAATGTCTTACTTAACCTTGTATTTCTTTTTGGTGAGAAGTGTGTATAAATTATTATATAAGTTGGATGTGGGTTTTTTAATCTTTGTCATTTAATAAAAACGATACATGACGATAACAGTGTGTATTTTCCTATAAAGCAGCATACTGACCTGCATCCCTTTGATGAAAAGAGACTTAATGACAGTCTGTTACAGGTCTGTGGTTCCATCTAGAACAAATAGCCCGCATTTCCCAGCAGCACTTTCCATGCTACAGAAAAGTTCTTCTGAGGCCTGTGGTTTAATTACAGAGATCTGCATTTATGGGTAGGGCTTATGTTTACAGTGAGATTGAAGGACTGATAGTTGTTTTAAAACATGGGAAAAGCATACGTGGGCAGGTTTAGATGGTTCAGCCTTGCTGATATTGCCCTGGAGGCCTCGCTTTGTTTGGAAGGTTTTATTTAGCTAAGGGGTGAAGAGCCTTGGAAAGTATGCTTTGTCTAGAATATGGAAATAACCTGTTGAAAAAAACTGCACAAAACTTCTACTTGCGAACAAAGAGCTGGTTGTTGAGTCGACAAGTGGCCTGGGGTCACCACTGCCTTGCAGCAAAGGTCCCTAGTTTATTCCTTTTGATCACTCTTTAAACTGCCTTGTGTGGTGTCATACCTTTGGTGGGTTTGGCCTTGGAGCTCCGTTGACCTCCCTTCCCATTGTCCTCACCCATCTCTGTGTGGAACCCTCTGTGACAGTCATCAAGAGTCTTGTGCACATGTCCCAGCCCCAAGACTCCATGTCTCTAAAGTGGAAATACTTCATGTGTTAAGACCTCAGAGCTGAAATAGGGCCTTAGAACTCACTGTCTTGAGAGAGAGGTTAGTACAGCTGTCATTACAGGACTCAGTGTGGTGGTGGGTATGTGGGTTTTTAAGCAGTCTTCATATCTGTCTTGGTGAGAGTGAGCATGCAGTTTCACTATGCAAAGGAAGGTTACCAATAATAATTCATTGTGTGTTCACTGGCATCTGGGGAGACATCTTCCCAAAACAAACCCTCATTTTTACAGGCCAAGTAAGTGTCTCATCTGCTCATCATCTGCTCAGAGATGTGAACTGCCCAGACAGGCTGGCGGGGAGGGGGGGATCCAGAAGCTGTGGCCTGAAAGACTTGTTCTAGCCCCTGGGTTTTCCGGGCCATATTGTTTGGCTTTTGGGTTTGGGGTTTTTTGTTTTGGTTTGGTTTGGTTTTTTGAGACAGGGTTTCTCTGTGGCTTTGGAGGCTGTCCTGGAACAAGCTCTTGTAGAACAGGCTGGTCTCGAACTCACAGAGATCCACCTGCCTCTGCCTCCCGAGTGCTGGGATTAAAGGCGTGTGCCACCACCACCCAGCCCATGCCATATTCTTTGTGTGGAATTGTAAAACACTGGTGTGTTTCTCCTAACCCACCAGATAGACTCTAGGGCATCTCATTGGTCATCCCCCATCCCCAGCTGGGACGTCCTGTGAGTACAGCTGGGCTATGGCAGGGGATCGTGCCTCAGGTCCTCCACCTTCTATGGAGGCCTGTGCATTCTTGTCTTCTGTGAGCTGCTGCCTCTTGGAGGCCTATGCTCTCTGTGGGAAGCCTGCCTGTGTCTGTGGAGAGTGAGCACCGTCTGCTGTGACCCAGCACAGCCCATGAGCACAGGATCTTTCCCGCTGCTTGTGGAGAACATTGTTTATCCTGGAGTATCGAGGTGATGACGCCCCTGCTTTAGGTCAGCCCCAGTCCAGTCTCACACTAGACTTCCGTTGTTTTCTGTTCTTCCCTCCCTGACTTTGAACACCTAAAGGACAAGGTGCCATGTAGCCTGAATCAACTTATGGAAGCTTCCAGTGATAAAAACATAAGTGCAAACACAGCCTGGCATCTAGAAGCATAGGGTTTGTAAGGGGACCAGTGCAGCCAGACTGCAGCACACAGCTAAGGGTTGCTCTAGACTGCAGGAGAGGGTGTGGCTCGTATCTGAGGGAGACTCAGAAAGAAATGAGAGAAGGCACTGCTATGGGATGAGGTCTAGTCCAGGGGGAGTCCTGACCCTACAGTTGACACACAGTCTGCATTTGAGGCAAGGGTCCGAGACCCACACAAGTCAGAAAATACTAGAGAAACTCAGGACTGGCCCTGAGGGAGCCATGATAATACTGGAGAGAGGGCAGAAGCTGTCTGCCTTTATCCCTCCAAGATGTATGTGAGGAGCACAGTGACCCAGGCGGACTTGCCGTTTAGGAAGCTCTTCTGTTTGTCAGCAGCAGGATGGAGTGCTGGAAGGGCCAGGCCCACAGGGGACTGATGCTTGGAGGGGTTGTGTGGAAAGGAGGCTGCTTAGCAGAGCAGGTAGCATGAAGGGCAGGAAGGCCCAATGGTTGTGGAAGAAACTGAGTGCGAGGTGTGGTTACAGCCTGGAGGGTAAAGCAAACACCAGGAGGCGGCTTGTTAGAGCAGAGCTGCTAGCCAAAGGGGTGGCTAAGACTAGGTATGTGAGCGGCCATAAGCATGGACACAGACTTGGGGCTTCTTGGCAGCACATATATTACAGGGGAAGGATTGAGCATAACCCCCAACTTGTAGCCAAAACTGACTCTGTCCTCACCCCACCGCTGCCTGGCTACATGGGGAAAGCAAGTGCCAGCAACTCACAAACTGAGGCTACATTCCTCTGCTCACAAAGCCTGAAGTCACCGGGGCCAGGGTAGGAGATGAAGGGCTGCCATTACAACCTGCCTGTTGCACCCAGAGCCCAGGGGAGTGGAGACCACCCTGGAGAGGTGGGCAAGCTGAGCACAGAGCCCCAAGGTGTAGCAGGCCTGATTCCAGGGGCACAGGGTGTGTGCCAGGTTAGAGGGACCAGCAGTAATCCAGGCTGCGTTAGTTTCGGTGGCAAGTGGGATATCGGGATGTGTTGAAAGGTCTAAGATTTTAAGAAAATACTGAGGAGATGGAGCAAAGGAGGACCTGGGACAGTTGCCCCAGGGCGGATGTGAAGAAAGTAAAGAGAAGAGAGCTGGAGCAAAGAGTGGGAAGGGCTCCACAGGCTGTGTATAGCGAACAGGGTAAAAAGGAACCATTTGCTGTGGGCAGGCCCTCCTTGGTGTGTTGGCTCTAGAGATGCAGGAGGGCTGTAAGCTTGAGATGAATTCAGGAGGATGTAGAGGTCATCTTTGGACCGGCAGAGGGTCCCTCCCATAGCCTAGATTGCTGGAGGGCGAGCCCCTTTCCAGCATCCAACAGGCAGCAGCCCACAGGCTTCATCAGTGAGCAAGCAAGTAGGCAAGTTTATCTCCCACCACATGGCTTCTTGTGGGAGAGGGCCCCAGGGAAGGGCAGCAGGCAAGTGTCCCCCTGCAGTGTGAGGGCCCCAGTGCAGACTGAGCGCCTCACAGAGAATGACTCCATACTTTGCATTGCAGTACGCAGTGTATAGTCAAGCCAGCGCCATGAGCATTCCGGTGGCAATGGAGACAGATGGGCCTCAGTTTGAAGATGTGCAGATGCTGAGAAAGACAGTGAGCGACGAGACTCGTCAGGTAAAAGTGCATTGAGCTCAGCAGGGCTGTGCCCGCTACAGATGTGCTTGACGGGTCCGTCACGTTCCGCTAAGCTAATGCTTACCGAGGGAAATAGTCACCTGTTAGGAAACATCAGTAAATCCGAGTGATCAGATTGCTAGAAAAGTTTTTAACAGTGAGGTGTGTGCCTGCAGTTTGTTGCTTCATTTACCTTAGGAACAGAAGCCCAACTCCTAACTATGTTCTGTGTTAGCTTGAGCAAACTCTGGAGCTTTGCAGTAGCGTCTTGCCATTCCCTCTCCCCTTTGCAGCCCTCTCACTTCTGCTCTGGCTAGGAGACCCTGCTTCTAGTTCTCCACACCCTCCCAGGACACCAGGGTGGGGAAGCTTAGCCTCCACCAGGGCCCAGAGCTCCCGAGGCAGGGCTGGGGCCGTGGCAGGCCAGGGCCGTGCCAGCAGCCATCCCAGTAACTCTGCAGCTCCACTCTGTGATCCACTGAGCTCCTCTGAGTGTCCTACGGGTCTGCATGTCTCTGGGCATGCTCCCTGTTGCAGGCAAGTGTAAACAAGTCCATGTAAATAATTCCATGAATGGACCTAGAGGTGTTGGTTATTCTGACTTGTAAATTTTAGCCCCCTTTCACCAATGGCAGGATCCCTAGACATTAGCACTCAGTTTCTAGAATGTAGAGGGAACCCCTCGCAGCTGCTTACTGTTCATGATGTCCATTGGAGCTCAGCTAAATAAACACTAGGATTCGCTAATCTATTTTGTTTGGTTCCAGTAAATCCTCACCCGGTAAGCTAGGATGAGGCATTACTAGGAGTGGGCAGTCTAGCCAGCAGAGCCTCCAGCAGCCCCAACCACACGTGTCTGCAGAACACCAGAAATGGAGCCTTCTGAATTGGGCTGTAGTCTCGGGGTAGCACACAGAAGCGCTTCAAGACCTGGCACGAAGAGAGGGTGCAGCAGCATCTCTTCATTATTACTGGTGACGGTGCCTGAAAAGCTGTGTCTTGTGTGTAAATACCATAAGCAGAGGTGCATATGGCCACTTCTTTTCACCGTTGCAACATGGTTGCCTGATTTGGAGTCACAGGCTCCCTGTCACAGTGTCGAGCAAGGAGGGCTCAGCCCCAGCAGTTGTCATGAGAATCCATGTTCATCCTCAGCCCCTTTGATTTAAATTAAATTTTGTTTAATTGGATGAATGAATAGTTCTTTCTACTCCACAAAACATGAAAATGCTAGAAATGCCATGGCAAAATTCGATGACCACTTACTGAATGTCAGGAATTAGTTGAATTCTACACTTTCCTCATCGTGGTTATTCTTAGCAATGAATAGGTCTCATCATAGTTACCCAGGCCCATAAACCCAGCACTCAAGAAGCCAAGACAGGGAATTGTGAATTCAAGACCAGTTTGGGCCACATAACATGAGGGAGGGGTAGGGTGGATAGAAACGAAAGAAACCCTGGGCTGGAGAGGTGGCTCAGCCGTTAAAGGCTAGGCTCACAACCAAAATTATAAGAAAGAAAACCCATGTATTTTCTGTGTTCCACCTGTAGGCCCTAGATTTCCTCTATGATTTCTTTTTAACTTTGGGAGGAATTAAGGTCACCTTTTTTATTTCCACTTTGATTTTGCAGCCCCGAGTTTGCCAATGGCAATCCAGCCGAGTGCTTGTCTGAGATTCCCGTATTCCTCAGGCCATCATTCCAAGGAATGCCTGTCTGGGAATTGGTGACCTCTTACTCAGCTTTAAGACACTTGAGCCATATGAAGTTTAGAGGAAGTTGAAGACCTGTGAGCCATTTCCCACACACTGTCCTGAGTGCTTGAAGGTTCAGAGGAATTTTCCTTCTGGTACATCCTTCAGCTTTAGTCATGATTCACTATAACTTACACCCTATGCTTTACAAAATCAACAATGGGATCGAGTACACAACCAAATTCATCTTAAACCTCAAGCAAAAATGCCTTGAAAAGTGGGCTCTGGACCACATTGTTAGCCCTAGGACCACAGAGCCTCCTATCTGTTGTCCATTGCAGCGACAGGTCCCCTTTTCGTAAAACCAGCTGGGCATTCTCAGGAGCCTTGGCAGGTTGCCCTGAGAGGCTGCCATGCCACATTTGCTGTCTGTTTCTGTGACTCTTGAAATGACATCCTTTAGTTGAGTCTTCTCTATGATTGACATCCTTACAAAGTTGGTCCTCCACCTTATCTTTGAGTTCTGTGGCTCCTGCTCCTGAATCAGAAGATGCCATGCAGAGGAAAGTTAGTATCCCCAAATTAATACCTTCACTAGAATCCCAACAGGGCCCCCCCCCTTAAACTGACAAGCAGAGATACAGTTCAGTGGGTAGAGTACTTGCCTAGTGTGTACAAAGGCCTGGTTCAACCCTGCATGGTGGTACACTGCTGTAACCTCAGCACTTGGGACATAAAGGCAGGAAAATCAAAAGTTCAAAGTCATCCCTGGCTATATAGTAGGTTCAGAGGTCAGCCTAGGCTCTAAATCCAACCAGTTGTGAAATTCCTATGAAACAGAGACAGAGCAGGGGCGTCTAAATCTTGAAGCCAGCTGGGTGACTTAGTAAAGAGCCTGCTTTGAAAAGGAATGAAAAGATAAAATAAATTACTGTGGAAAGTCAGAAGACCTAGAATAGCAACTCTGAAAAAGAACACTGCCAATGTCAAGATGTCTGTAGGTTAAACTACTGAGCCCCAGGACAGTTGGGTAAGTCTCAGTATCTAGATGAAGATTTTTTTTTTTTAGGCACAGGCTCCTAGGTAATATTTGAAATGGTAAACTCCTTTTTGTTGTTTTTGTTTCTGGTTTTTGAGACAGGGTTCCTTTGTGTTGCCCTGGCTGTCCTGGAACCAGGCTCTGTAGACCAGGCTGGCCTCGAACTTACAGAGAGATCCATCAGCCTCCCAAGTGCTGGTATTTCTCCTGGTGAAATGACAATCTCTTCTTCCTCTGAGAACATTTGGAATCGTGCTCTTGAGATTCTCAGTTAGTAATGACAGCAAAAGAATGTGCCAGGTACCAGATGTGGTAACCCACACCTGTAGTCACAGTACTCTGGAGGCTGAGGCAGGAGCATGCACCTTTAAGGCTAGTCCAGGCTACATGTCTCAAAGTCCAGGCTACATGTCTCAAAACACCAAACAAACTATAACTAAAAACTAAGGTCTGGGGTTCAACAGTGTGAACACTTTCTATGATCCTCAGTTTCATTTTCACTATTTTTCCAAAAAGATTTCTTTAAGTGGATTTGACTGCTGGGTCACGAGATGTAAATAAGACGGTCCTGCTGAAGACTAGGAATGAGAGACTAATGCTTAAAAGGGCATTTGTTTGGTGGGTGAGGTGGAGAGATTCAATAAAGTGTTTGCTTGTCGGAACCGCTATTTAGAATTCCTTTGTTGACCTTGTGTAACGCTATACAGAACACCCCCTGAAAAAGTGTGTAAGTTTCATGTGAATAACATTGATATCGGAGACGTTTAAAATGTTAACAATTTTCATTTTTAACAGTTGGTCGGGAGAAAAGCAGTGTCAAGCACGCAAGTCAGGAAGTTGTAGACGGAAGGCAGGCAGTGCAGGTACTCCTTGGAAAATGCATAGCTATACTTATGGCTTTGTATCTACTAGAGTGTGAGGAGTCACCGTGGCGTACATGAAGTATTTCCCCTTTCCATGACATCACAGCTTGTGATGGGCAAGACAGCTAAGGAACGTTGACTAGTTCTACCCCAAATCAAAACTCAACACCTTCCCAAGACAAAGGAAGAGTGTACCATTGTGTGTCCAGCCATGTCCTCACCAGGACCTCTAGCACTGGCCGTTTGCACCTGCCAGTCTCATGCCAACATTCCCTGCTTCCTGAACCACCCAGCCCTGCCTGCATGCCGCCAGAGCATCCTCTCCCCCGGATCTTACTCATTCTAGACCACCGTCTGCATGATGGCTCATTCTTTCCTGCCTCCTGTTTCTCTCACTGTTCCTCCTGTGGTTTGTCAGAGTCTTCTCTGCTTCGTGCATCCATTTGCTAAGCAGAGACGCCCCTCGTGTGTGTCCAGGAGCTCTCTCTGGTCAGCTCAGCCTCCTCAGTTCCCCTTCACTGGTCCAGCTCCAAGGGCCTGACTGTGGTCTGTGTGTTCAGTTGTTCTCTCTGGCATGCCTGTGTCGGCGGTAATTACATATTTCGTGTATTTTAAAATATTGGTTTGCATCAGGATGGACATAAAATTCGGGGTAGAATTTTAACCTCTGAATTTCTGATGGGTTAAAGGTAAAGCACTCTTAACGTGCCAGCCATACACACCCAAAATCTCAGCACTTGAGAAGCTGAGGCAGGAGGATCGTGGATTTGAAACCAGCCTGGGTTTTGTAGCAAAACGCAGATCAATAAATGCACTCCTACAAGCATGGGGACTGATGACAGCCTGTATGGGGACTGGTGACAGCCTGTATGGGGACTGGTGACAGACGGCCTGTATGGAGACTGGTGACAGCCTGTATGGGGACTGGTGACAGACGGCCTGTATGGAGACTGGTGACAGCCTGTATGGGGACTGGTGACAGACGGCCTGTATGGAGACTGGTGACAGCCTGTATGGGGACTGGTGACAGACGGCCTGTATGGAGACTGGTGACAGCTTGTATGGGGCCTGGTGACAGCCTGTAAGGGGCCTGGTGACCGATCCTAGGCAGGCAAATTGCAGAGCTTTCCTTTACCACATGGAGTGTTAAAGTTCAAAAGGCAGCTCTAGAAATAACCTTGGTGTCAGACAAGACACGGGAGCCCTTACTGCTGCTGCTGCTGTTTTCATAAGCAGATCCGCAGAGAACCCTGCTAAGAAACACCAAACTCTGCAGTGCAGGCTTCTGCCTGTGTCTTAGCGGTGCTTATTTCCCCCAGAGCGTAAGTGCATGCGTGTTCTATTACCGTGTGAAAGTCAGACGTCAGCACCCGGAGCAGCCGTTCACGCATGCTCTCTCTGTTGTCATATAATTGGCTTTCAGTGGCTATTTTTTCCCTAGATTACACCACAAAGGTTGACTTTCTTTAGTGCTGCATTTGTTTGGTTTGAGACACCGGACAGAAAGGAAAACCTTTGGGGTTAAGCAGCATAGGTCCAGAAGCAGTGCTGGCCGCCCAGTCTCCTCAGAGCACGTTGCCTTTGGACAGCTGAGTTGGTGTTTTGTTATGTTCCAGAGTGGTGGCGCTAACATAGCAGCCTCCAACAAAGCTGAGCAGATACTCAGTGCAGACTTTCCTCTCGACATTCTTTCGGATACAATCAGCTAAATCCCGGGCATGCTGGCTCGTGCTCATAACCTGGCACTTGGGAGACTAAGGCAGAAGCAGTGCTGTGAGGTCAAGGCCAGCCTGGACTTCATAATAAATTTAAGGCCAACCTGGGCTACCTAATGATATCTGTCTCACAATATGGACATATGTGCGCATGTACACACACAGTCTAAATCTTCCTGCTTAGTGGGGTTCCTAAACTTCAGCAAAAGAGTGGAGAAGAGAAGGATTTTTTTTTTAATTTCCTAGACTCTATATTGGGAACTTTTATGTAAATGATTTCTGGGTACAATTTTATTTTCTTCTAGCCGCATGACCCATTTAACACCTCTCACCAGAAAAAAAAAAATTTAGAATTTTTTGTAAATGTTTTAGTCTCTTAACTGGTTTAAATCTCATCTGTTTCTCATTCATTCTGTTTTTCCCTAAAGAATTGTCTGCTTCCTGCAATGTGTATACAGCAGACAAGATCCTAAGGTGACATTGGTGGTGGTGTTCGAGGAGGGTATCTGGGAGAGTGATAAGAACTGGAAACCCTGCAGAGGCTCAAAGCCAACGCCACCCACTAGGTTTCACAGCAGTCCTCACATAGTGATGAGGGTATTTGGGCTGAATGAATGGACCCATTCCCTGTGGCCAGTGAGGCTGTGCACATCTGTGATCCTTGCCTGCCTCGTATTTTCCTCTGACTTCTAAACTCAGAAGCCAACTCCCTTCTCGGTCAGCCCAGTGTGTAGCCAACTGCGTTGCATTTGTGATTCCAGGCACACAAAGACCTGAAGAAGGACCGTTCCCTTGTGCGCCGCAAGTCCGAGCTGCCTCAGGACCCCCACACCGAGAAAGCCTTGGAAGCTCACTGCAGAGCCAGTGAGCTGCTCTCCCAGGATGGGCGCTAGCTCTGGAGCAGCACGTCGAGCTGGGCCTGTCAGTTCTCTTCCGGATGCTGTAGAAAAGACATACTGTTTGTGCCATACCAATCAGCTACACTAAAGTCAAAGCTCCCACTGACCCGTCTGTAGGCAACGATGCTCATCCACCCTGGCTCGAGATTAGGAGTTCAAACAATGGTGGCTTCTCCGGCCCTGCTGGCCAAGCCAGGGGTCGATGATAGTGTTGTCACTCCCAGCATAGCCCTGAGTAAGACTGTATCCCAAAGTCAGAGCTGTAGGAAAGCACCCTGGTTGTCTCCTTGTCCCACCTAAGTGGGCCCTGAGCCCCTCTCAAGTAGGTAGTTCTGTGGTAACACCAGGGTTTTCCACAAGGAAGGAACACTCTGAAGGTATCTACTCCTTCTCTAAGACTTTACTGCTTTTGACATCGTTCCCATGATTTGCTCTGTTGGTCCACCCTCACTGCTCTTAGCTTTCACAGTCTAGCTGCCTACTGGGAAAGTAGCCAACATCCTCAGCACTGGGACCTTCCAAGGTGTTTCTTTCCTTTGGTTAATGGCATGCATGCCATGTCATGCTTCCCTTAATGTCTACCGAAAGCCATATTTCATAGTCTGTGGTAGAGGCCAGGGTTTCTCAGTCTGCCTTGACTAGAAGCGCAATGTTGAAATTATGTGTTCTTATTTTTATTTGCAGGATCAGTTTTCTCATCTACTTACACATTATCCTTCAACAAGGCTCTTGAATGGATAAAACTGTAGGATCTAAGAATTCCACATCTGTAGAACGTTACAATACATTAAGCCACTGGGCCTAATGCAGACTGCAGCTGCCTTTGGGCGCACTGCAGACTGCGCTGTTAGAGTGCCCTCAGTGAGCCTTTCTATTGGAAAAAAGCACACATTACCAAGCTGATAAGGAAAAGTGCAGTGTCTGCGTTTCTGCCCATCTTCACATGCTGTTACAGGCTTCCCAGACTTCTTGCATGGATTAAGCTTCTGTTTTAGATGGAATAGCACGAGGAGAAAACTTAAACTTAGCACTCTGTCTGTTCTTTATTTCTCTCAGGGTGGCCAGTATTTCGATTTATTTATCCTGCTTGAAAGCTACTTGAGATGTGTACTGCTATTCTGAACAGTGACTCGTTTCTTTGTCTCCAGCATATATATATTAATATATATATATATATACATATATAAAACTTAGTGTTAAATGTCTTGATGCATAAGAGGTAAAATGTGGCTTCTCTGAAAATCTGTTTTTCAATTGTGGTCTCGGGTATCCATGAACTAATTGTGAAATTAGACATTGCTGTCATGGGGCCGCAGAGCCGCTTCCGGTCTCCTACGATCGCTGGTGATGCTCACCCCATAACATGGGAGAGGAATGGGGAGCGGGGCAGCAGGACAGCACAAGACTGTAGGAAAGGTGGCCCCAGCTGAAGGTGGACAGGCTGGTCACTTGGCTGAGAAGAACACTTCCTGAGAAACTTGACAAGTATCTATCCACTTTACCATTATGAAATCTATAATCAAAAAAAAAAAAAAAAAAAGTTGAGATGCCTTCTCCTTTTGAGGGAAAAAAGGGTGCTTTTACTGTATAAAGCAGTGTCTGTGTGTTTTGATACCCCATTGTTTGAACTCTCGTCTTTAGCTGGTAGAGTCTCAGATATCCCTGGTGTGTGGGGTGGTCCCTGCGTGGTGAGAGGTCCCTGGCGACTCCTTTGCCCTTCGTGGAAAGCAAGCTATCAGTGTCCGGGTGATTGTATGAAGCTCAGCACAGAAGAACATTGCTGGTCTAGGTTTTATTCCTGCTCTCTATTGAAGACAAACTTTACCAATAAGTAAGAAAAAAAATGTTTTCAGAGAAACTAATTTTCTTTGACAAGAGTATTACTCAATATTTTGGCCTATTAAAGTTTCCCTAGTTAGTACTTGGGTTCCCTGTGCTAATTGTTCAACTTATATATTGTTATAGAGACACTGTCCATTCTGTACCAAACTGGTTTCAAAAAAAAGTACCGCATTGAAAATAAACGGGTGACTGTTTTTCTTCTTAAGGCTCTAAGTTTGGCACCTTCACTCTTTCCAAAATGTATCTGTGCGTCAGAGATGTCACAGTTACAAGTATCTTTCTAGTGTGGCTTTGTATGGCTTCCTTTGAACATTGTACATACATTGTATCTTTGTTTTATGGTAATAAGTAATAAAATGTAGACTTCGTATTTTGTACAAAATGTCCTATGTACAGATTTAAAAAAAAGTTCATAGAAACAGCAAAAATAGGTAAGTGGCACAGTTATTTTTCTTTAGAAAATATCTGTAACTTTATGCTTTAGTGAAATGTTAAGTACCAACATATTTTTTAACATTTTGTAATTCAAAACTTTTTTGTTTTGACATTGTTTATGAAGAAAAACTTCATGCACTTGCCATTTAATATGCTCTTTTATCTAATTTTAAAGAACTCTTTAAAATGGTGTATTATATGGACTAAATAAAGAACATGTGAATTTTATCGCTCATCATGAAACTAAATTTAGCCATGGTGTTGGGCAGTCTGGTTTCGACACACTCACTGTTACTGTCAGGTCAAGGATCAGCCCCTCCAGGGACACTGGGAAGTAGATGTCCTGTGCCCCCCTATTGAGGGCCAGCTGTCCATTAGCTCCTAGTGTCCACTCTTGAGAAGCTGATCCTGTGAGCTACCATATTACCTCTTGGATTGAAAAGGCAGGTGCCAGGGGTGGTGACACACACCTTTGATCCCAGCACTCGGGAGGCAGAGGTAGGTGGATCTCTGTGAGTTCAAGACCAGTCTGATCTACAGAACTACAGAGAGGAGGAAAGGGGGGGAAAAGAAAAGGCAGACATAGCTTTTGACACACAACACTTGCTTTTTGAAGAGGCGATGTAAGAATCCAGTGTTTAGAAATGGAATTGAGTACTGACCTTGATGCCTGACTAAGTGCCTAGAGTGGGTAGACATGATGAGGGTATGAGCTTGGTCCTCACTGGCCCATTTGTTGCTGAAACCTGTGAAAATATCCCAAGAGCCTTGCTCTGACTGTGCTTGATCCATGCAGAGAAGGGCATGCCTGGAACAGTGACCCTTGCCCATCACACGGTCTCTGGGTCTCCATCCCTTCTGGTGGGAGCTAAGCAGTGGAGGCCTTGGAGCTTCCTGGGGTCCTTGGGCCTTAGACCTGCTGGCTACAAGTGTTTGAGGAGAGTGTGCCTACCAGAAGCGGCTCACTGGTTAGAAGACATTAGGTCTGAGGTAGTGACTAGGATTACCGCTTCCTGGAACTGGTGGCTACCCAAACTGGAGAAGGACATCATGTTTGGTAACAGTCCACAGCCCAGGAATCTTGGCCAGAGGCATGCTATGACTGACAGCTACCAGAGCCATAGTGCTGCTTTGAGAGGCTCTCAGGCAAACTGGAAAAGCTCTGTGTCTCCTTCCCTGAGAACTGGTGTCAGCAAGTGCGCAGTGGTGGCCAAGAACTCTTCTCAATACCACTTTGGTGCCCAGGCGTTGATCTTGTAGACAGATGCCTCTCGCCCTTGGCTAATCTCCATCAGTAGCTCACTAGATCACCAAGACACAGAGAAACCCTGTCTCAAAAAAAAAAAAAAAAAAAAAAAGCAAAAGCAAAAGCAAACAAGATTTAAAATTACCCACTCCAGGGTATTTTTCTGAGTAGCACAAATGGACTGAGACAGACTGGTTATGGGAGGAGTGGAGGAACTGCTCCAGATGAAGAGCGAACCTACTCTCGGAGAACTGAACACAGACATTAAAGAAACTGGAACAGTTGGCGAAGTTGAGCCGGCTGCAGCTAACAGCTGGTTCCTAATTGGAGGGCCTCAAGAAGGGGCAGGTGGAGGGGGTATGTAGATTAGCATGTAGAATCCATGGATTTGTGGGCACCGTGGAATTATAGTGGGGAAAAAGACAACCCATTCACACATCTACAGGAGAAATTAAGGAAGTAAAGATGACAAAGCTCCACCCCCAGATACAGGGCCAAGGGTATATGGCCCGTGAAGTCGGGGTAATGTAGGCCGCTGCAGCATTGCAGAGGGACTGAGGACCCACAAGATGCAGCCAGGCAAAACAGAAGTCACTACTGACCTTAGAACCCTGAGTGGTGTGGTGAAGGGTCTTGGCATCTTATTAGAGATGACTTGCTGTTTAGGAGAAAGCAGGACCCACGTGGAGTTCATGAATGTTACCGGAGAGGTCAGGGTCAAAGCCTGGACTCTGGCAGCCCCAAAAAGCTAGGTTCATCGACCCAGTGCGCCATTGAGAAGCAGAGGAAGACGGTCACATCCAGTGTGGCCACATTTGGAAGGGAGCTAACGAGCTCGCTGACTCCCTCACTGTCACTAACAGGAGGCCTGGGTCTGCGTAGAAGACGGGAGGTAATACAACGAAGCCGTCTTGGTTAAGTGTGGTCCCACCCATCACTGTCAAAACTCTGAGAGGTGGTCTGAAGTTGATAGAACTGGGTGCAGTCTCTTCTAAGAGACAAGTTCCTCCTCGGGTGGACACCAGGCTTCCTTCAGCTTCTTCCCTGGACTAACATCAAGTGTCCTAGTTAGCATTTATTGTCAACATGGCACATCTCAGAATCACCTAAGGAGTCTCGGCTGGACAGTTGTCCTTATCTGTGAGGGGTTGTCCTGATTGATAAATGATGTAGGCTGGCCAAGCCCAGAGGTAGGTGGAACCATCCCACGGCTTGGTGGTTCTGGGCTGGATTTTAGTTTGAGGCCAACTGGTCTACAGAATGAGTTCCAGGACTTGTCTCAAAACAAAATTGATATGCCTGGTTTTGTTGATACTTAGGGGAGACCTCCTCTTTCCTAAACAGAAAGGAGGAGTGGATTTGGGGTGGGAACCAGGGGGGAGGGAGATGGACTGGGAGGAGAGGAGGGAGGGAAACTGTGGCCAGGATGTAAAATACATAAATAAAAAATAAATTGTGGTGGGGGGGCGCACACCATTAATCCCAGCACTCGTGAGGCAGAGGCAGGCGGATCTCTGAGAGTTCCCTGTCTCAAAAAAACAAAACAAGCCAGGTGTTGGTGGCGCATGCCTTTAATCCCAGCACTCGGGAGGCAGAGGCAGGTGGATCTCTGTGAGTTCGAGACTAGCCTGGTCTACAAGAGCTAGTTCCAGGACAGCCTCCAAAGCCACAGAGAAACCCTGAAACCCTGTCTCAAAAAAAAAAAAAAAAAGAAAAGCAAGTTAGTGACCCAGCAAGCAGTGTTCTTCTATTGTTCTCTCCAGGTTACTGCCTGACTTCCACCAATGATGGACCATGAACCTGAAGTGTAAGCCAAATAAACCCTTTCTTCTCCAAGTTGGACTTGGTCAGAGTGCCGTTATCACAGCAACAGAATGAAACTAGCACTCTGGGGTAATTCCATTTCTTTGGGATCCATTTAAAAAAGAGGGAAGTTTAGGTTTGTTCTGTTTGAAGGAGGATGGGACATGATTTAAATAAATACAGAGATTTGAGGTTTCTGAGCAGTGTACATCCAAAATGAGGCTATGGTAATAGATTAAAAATGAAAGCAATGGCGTTCTCTCCAGATCTTAGGAGTGTGGGAGATCCCAAACCGCCCCCAGCTGCCTACCACCTCCCAAGAGAGAGGGTTTTCTTTAAGCCTCAGTAAGAGGTGAGTGATTATCATTCTGCCGGATCTTCCATGGGATACCACCTGTCACTGGTGATGCTCTGGAATCTGCAGGAGGTAGCTGGCATTTCCCTCCATTTTCTGTGGCAGGGTTCTCTCTCAACTGTGAAAAGGCATCAGACGGGCAATCCCCATGCTACTATACAGAACTGTGGCTGCAGAGAGTACCCTGGCTTGGGGGACAGCACACACTATTCTTCAGCTTGTTGAGGCTTGGAGGACAGCACTGCACAGATCTTCGCTTGTCTTCTGAAGGCAGCTGGAGCAGACACCCCATAATCCCAATTCCAGCTCCACCAATGCAGAACTGTGGCTGCAGAGTACCAGAGCTTGGGGAATAGCACCCACTGCTCTCCAGCTTGCCCTCTGAAAGCAGCTGACACCCCATAGTCCCAATTCCAGCTCTACATACTTGCCAGAAAAAAAAGGCATGGTCCTGCCACGTAGGTATGAGGAAAAGATAATAGAGAAGACGGTGCAGAGCCAGCAGAGGGGATGAGAGGAGGAATTCCCACTGGTAGTATAACCATCCGACCCCCACCTCACCATCTCCTGAAGGAAGAAATCCCAGGGGCAGCCGAGAGAAAGGAAGAGTGGATGGTTTCCGTTATTGCTCGTGGCTTGAGGATTTGTAGGACCCTTAGAAATGCAACTGAGTTTTAAAAGGTTAGGTGTTGGAAACATTTTGGTTTTTATTTTCACATCAAGTCTTATTGTGTAGAAAGACTGACCTTCCCAGCCTCCTGAGGGCTGGGGCTACAAATGTGCCACCGTGCCTACAGGGTGTCCTGTAATTTGACTCAGCAATTTTGCTTCTAGAAATTTTGCCATCAGCAACATTTGCATAAACTGAGCTGTAAGGCTGTCTACTCACTGTAACACTGTTCCCCATGTCGAGAGACAGAAACCAGGACTTATCCTCACCTGCCTGAGGTGACGCTAGATGGAAACATGAACAAAGAGAAAACCCCAGAGCCCAATTCCCACTCCAAGATTTGTTTGTATGTGTTTTGAGACAGGGTTTCTCTGTGTAGCCCTGACTCCTGGAACTCTACTCGAACTCACAGGCATCAGCCTGCCTCCCAAGTGCTGGGATTAAAGATGTTTGCCGCCACCGCCAGGCTGTTTCTATCTTTTAATGTGTTTATATTTCTGCGTGCGGGTTTGTACATGTGAATGCAGGTGCCCCAGAAGTCAGGAAAGGGGTGCTGGATTCCTTGGAGCTAGAGCTCTGGGCTGTTAGCCTGTCATGATGCTGTGAAATGAAACTCAGGTCTTCTCCAAGAGCTGTACAAGCTTCTAACGGCTGCCTCTCTACACTCCCCAAGTCCCTCTTCACCAAAGATGGGAAAACTGAAACCAGAAAGGTTCTGGTACACATTCAGAATTTTAATTCATTCTCAGTTCAGGTCCTCCCTTTCCCTCCTCTGCCTCCCCAACGCCCACTTCTCGAATATTCTACACTGCAGCCGAGAGGAACCTTCCAAAACACCCATCTGCTCAGTTCCCAGTCCTGCCGAGCAACCTTCAAAGAATCAAACTAGCCGACGATAGGCTGAATCTCACCCATAAGCCTTCCAACACTAAACCTAGCTGTTGTCTTATGATTGGCTTTCTGAGACAAGGCCTTGCCACTAGCAGAGAATGGCCTTGAACTTCCTATTCCTACCTCAACCTCCTGAGTAGAAAGACTACAGGCCTGGACCTCTGTGCCTGGCTTCTACTCATCTTTGTGTAAGATGCCTCTAGTGAAGGATCTAGAGCTGCTCGGTTTCCCTCTCATCTCCAACCAGTCACCCCAGGCTAGAC